AAGCCAACTTCGGGAAACAGAAAGACACCCTCTCTTTCGAATAAGAGAAGTCTCTGGGAGAGTTTTTACTCCCGTCTTTCTTTTTTTATACCCGTAAATCTCCCCCAACGCACACACAGATTTTTAAAAATTTTTGAGGCCCTCTTCGGTGGGGGGGGGGCGGGGGATTAAGGCTCTCGCCTCCCATATTTTCACAAACCCACGCCCCTTGGGAAAACCATATAGGTCGTTGGAAGCAAAACATGTTGGGGTTTTTCCCCGCCATTAATTGTTCAACAGACGGGAAGCCGAGGGGGGAACTTTTATTGGGGGGAAGCGCCGCCAAGAAAGTTTTTTTTGGGGTTTTCCGGGGCGTGTTTGTATTTTTTTTATCGCCTTTAATAAGAGTGTTTAGGGGGGGGGGTATGGGTGTGGGTGTTTCGGGGGGGGGGTAGGGGTGGGTGTAAAAAACAATAATTCTCTGCGATTTAAAAAAAAAAAAAAAAAAGCCAGACAGACCAAAGGGCAGCCCCCCAAAAAAAGGGGGGCGGGGGGGGTTAAAAAAAAAGAGGGGGGGAAAAGGGGGGGGGGGAGAAATTTTGAGATATAAAACCCACAAAAATGGCCGGAAAGGGAAAAAAATAATAATGAGGGAAAAACAGGGCATAAAAGACCCCCCCCCCCCCAAAAAAAAAGAAAAGACCCAAAAAAAAAAGTTAAAAGGTGGGGGGGGGGGGAGAAAAGGAGAACGGTCGTAGATTTGAGATGGGGACTGATGATAAGGAGAGGGGGAGAGGTGCATGGGTTGGGGGCAGCGTTCTGTGTGACGTGTGTATTTTAATTAACGGCTGGGGCTGAATTATAATATAAGCCTTTGTTCCGGCCTTTGACGTGCCTTTTATTCAACATGGGAAATTCATCTTTTATGGATTAGATTTAAACGCAATCCAATCCCGTTTGGGGGCAGATAATACCTGGAGCATTATAGTTTGAGATTTTGGGGGGATACGAGGTTCTTCCTTGTTGTTCTTTTCTCGTAATAAATAAACTTTTCACGTCACATACAGATTGTTCATTTTGAACCAAGATCTTGATATTATTCCGAGGTAAGACGTTTATGGCTTTCAGACCAGACACGAGCCAAAAAAAAAGAGTAGATAAATAAGATTAAATAAATAAATAAATAAATAAATGCATAGATAGGGGCCTTTTCGCTTTCTTGAGAGATCATTGGACTTCAAAACAAAAGTTCTGTTTGTTTTTATTATTCCTGCTATTTTAAGTTCATAAACGTTATCACGTCTTCTCCAGGTCATTCCTCGATTTTGACGTGAAGGGAGTTGAAACGAAATGATTGATATAAAAGTGCGTGTGTGTATGTGTGTTTGTGAGTGTGTGTATGTTTGTGTATGTGTGCGTGAGAGAGAGAACGAGGGAGACAGATTGAGAAAGAGAGAGAGAAAGAGAGAGAGAGAGAGAGAGAGATAGAGAGAGAGAGAGAGAGAGAGAGAGAGAGACTGTGTAGAAGGGGAGAGGGTATTTTTAAACGCAGTCCAGTTCACTAACTGTAATTTAAATTCAAACATAATCATACAATTTATATGGGGTTGAGAACAGATTGAGATGGCAATGAAGATGATAATCATGATGACAACGACGACAACGATGATGATGATGATGATGATGATGATGATGATGATGATGATGATGATGATGATCCCATTCAATTGATGCCATTCTGAAGCTTAATTGGAGCATCTTAGATGCACTTCCGTGTAATAATTGAGAAGAGAATTTTAAAAGAAAACCATTATCCCATTATTACGTCCATTGATCGCAGAAGGATACACAGAATGAAGACGCGTAGTCGGTTCTCATATCTCCGTAAAATGACAACGGACGTGATTAGCGAATCTGACAGGCTGGATAGGAATAGCGACATGAGACGCGACTTTCTGGCTGGCCAGAGGGAGGAAGAGTTTAGGTTCCGGGCCTGCAACCAGATAGATAGATAGATAGATAGATAGATAGATAGATAGATAGATAGATAGATAGATAGATAGATAGATAG